CCTGGGATTGTGGGCTCCAGAGTTGTGAGGAAATTTATTTCCTGGTTTTGGCCCTGTCTGTGGTGTTTGTTACCATGGACAGGAGGACAATATGCCCTGGACAGAAGGCCCAGCAAGATGCAGAGCAGCGTTGCCCAGGATGCTGGAGGCTGTGGAGACTTGCCCGGGGGAGCCGTAACGGGAGGCTGAGTGCTGGGTGGAGAATGCCTGGTGGATGCAAGGTATTTACTGTCTGACCACATCCCCAGTGATGACACATACGGCAGTTAGGAGTGACTGAGGAAGCTGGCGCTCTGCCTACCAGCTGTGGCAGGCCGTATAAACACCCAGTCACACGGCTCTGTGTGCCCTGCCTACTATCACCTGGTCCAGGCATGAGGACTCCCCTGCTGTGGCTGCATCTGCTCCTGCTTGTGTGGACAGGTGAGCCAATGGGATCCCAGCCTCGGGGACCTAGGGTCCCTGAAGTTGCTGACCCCCATCCTGAGGATGTGGACAGGCTCCAGAGTGGGAGCCAGGGTCAGGTTGGGGCTTTCCAGAGGCCTTCTGCCTTCCTCACTGCTGAGCTTATGTCACTCTTAGCAGGAGCTGCCCTCTGTGTACCTGCTTGGCTTCTCCCGGGGTGCTGGGAGGGGTGGGACCTCTGGCTGCTCAGAGCTGTGGTCTTCTGCCCTCAGCATGGGGCACTGCACCTGGAGTGCTCTGGGAGCCGAGAGCGAGCCGCTTCCCAGCCCCAGGTACCCCGGCAGCAGGTGCACACCTGGCAGGGCTGTGGGTAGAGAACTGGTGGAGGGTTTGCTCAGCTGGTGTTTCCAGGGAGTGAGGCCTGCACCGGTGAAGGTGTGCAGCTTGAGGCCTTGGTCTCTGACCCCGGCTGTGTCCCACAGCCCAGGCCCTGCAGTGTCACGAGTGCTCTGCTACAGGGGATTGTTTCCAGCCTGTGTCTTGCCCAAACGAAACCCGCTACTGCCTGACCACGTGGAACAGTGAGTGTCCCCCTTCCTGTGACATCTGGACCCGGTACTTGTGGACCCAGAGGCCTGGGCCTGTGGGTGGGGCCATAGGGGGCTAGGAAAACTCATTTCTTATCCAGGTGCTGAGGTTGCCAGCAATGCTTCCGACAAGTGCTGTTAGTTCCCTTGCCCTGTCTCCTTCCTCCAAAATGGGAGCAACTTGGGGCCTCTTTCTTGAAGGCCTAGGGAAGAGTGAGCGTGCTATTCCCGAGGGCTCTGCTGGACAGTGCTGGCACATGGGGACACCAGATTCAAACGGTTTCCAAGGGCTCCGGAAGCAGGGAAGAGGGAGGAAAGCTGGCTGTGAGTAAAAACTCATCTTCTTCCACAGTGAGCCTGAGCCAAGTTTAACACTGACCCTGAGCAGCTCACACACTGAGCCGTCATTCTGCCCAACCCTGAGCCCTGACTCTGACTGCACACAGCCCTGGGGCTGCTGTCACTCTGGGTCTGGATCACGGTTACACACTGAGCTCTGAATCTCGTCCCACACCAAGCCCTGAGCCTGGTCACACTAAGCTATCCTAGTGCCCTACTGAGTCCTGAGCCTGGTCAGGTCACACACCAAGCCCTATTTCTAGTCACAAGCTGAGCTCTGACATTTCTGACCTCTTAACATGTTCCCGTGGGATGAGGAGACCCTGAGAAAGGGTCAGACAGGATGTCAGGTGCGAGCTTGGTGAGAGAGGCTGGGACGGATTTCGCAGGACTCAGTACATGGCTCTCTGCCCCATGTCTTCCAGGTCCCCCAGGGCAGAAAACCACTTGCATAAAATCATGCGCTTACACATGCCCTGGCTTCCAACAGAGCCTGGCTTCCTCCAGGGCCTCCTGCTGCAACACGGATCTCTGCAACAGCGCAGTGAGCTACAGCGTCAGCTGGGGGCTGCTGGCTCTCAGCATTTGTGTTGCCTACCTCAGCAGGTAGCCATGGAGCTGCAGAAATAGGAGTCTGGAGCCAGGGCCTGCTGCGCAGTGGACCTGCTTTGTGTTCTCAGATGTGGCTCTTTTCATCCCTCCCTGGGAGGATTCCCAGCAAGGGCAGTGACAGACGTGCGGCCTCACAGAAGATGGAGACCTCCACCAGGTCCTTGCTGCTGTCCAGGGAGGTGCTGTGGGACCCTGGCTGAAGAGTTGGCCATCTGCTGGCTTCCAGGTGCTGGCGCAATGAGGTGGCCGTGACCATAGACCTGTTACTGAGCCGGGTTGAAGCAGACACCCTACCCTCAACTGGGGGCGAGGATCAACCCTCCTAACTACCTCAGAAAGCTGGGGCCTGGCCACCACCACCTCAGGCTATTGCCTGCTGCTTCCGTATGCAGAACTCACCTGTGCTGCTCTAAGTTGGATCCAAAGGACCTCAGCAAATGGAAACCCCATGGAGCAGCCTTCTGGCTGGCATGCAGGGTGGTAGGGGGAGAGGTACAGCTAGTCAGGGACAGATACCCTCCTGAGCATCCCGCGGGTCAGTGCTGGTGGCAGCAAGTCACCCAGGCAAGGCTAGCTGCAGCCCCACCGACCCAGGAGCCTGTTGCTCCAGAATTGGGCCTGAGCAATCTCTCCAGCGTGGGGCTGACCTATACCAGGTTCTCAGCTCCTATGATCTCTGGATCCTAGAATAGGAAGAGGCTTCATCTAGCTTCAAGGGAACCCCAGGGCTGGAGCCTGAGGCTTCCTTTCCCTGATGGCCTGTGGCCCAGGTAAACGGCCTTGGTCAGCCTGGCAATTCTTGTTATATATTCTTTATTAAAGAATTACTACTTCCTAACAGAGTGTGTAGCTGGCTCTCTTGGAGATTTATATCCCTGAAGAGGAGGGTCTCTGCTCTCCTTCTTGGAGCCCCTGACAAGTACTGGGTGGAAGATGGCTTTCCGTGGAGAGATATCCCAGGACTTGTCATCTGGGATAGGTCCGCCGGCCTCCCTTGAGACCTGTTGCTTCTCCGCCCTCCTCTCCTCACTGGCCTCCTCTCCTCCTCCTTTCACATTCTCCCCTCCTTCAGGAGGGAAGTACGCAAAGTATTCCCATTTTCTGCAGCCCTGGGGCTAGGCTGGTCCCCCCACCTCTGAGCCAAGAAGTTCCTGGAGCCACCTTCCTAACAAAATCAGGGCTCTCCCCCAGCCTGACCGCTCCCTCAAGCAATCCAGGGGCCATAGCCTTCAGAATGCCAGCATTACTGACTCTCTCAGCAAGCCCCGCTGTCCCTTAAACCACATAAAATCTTGACATGAAACTGTCTTTCTGGCCTCTATGACTCTGGGAACAATTATCTCCCAGTTCAGCCTTCTGCTGATCCTCATGCCTCTTCCACTGGCAACCAGTAGCTTCTTTGGTGAAAAGGACCAGCTGGCCTAGGAGTTCAAGTAGCCAGCAGTGTGTGCCATGGGCAGTGAATTATACTCACCAGCACTACTGTCCTTTAAATACCAGCTCTGTGGTATGAATGTATGTGGGTCACTTGCCTCCAGGGTTGACCTCCCTGGGGTTTCTCAGTGAGCGGGCCAGCTGTTTCCTCCATGGATAGGAAGCAGGAGGAAATTCTCAGGATCCCAGCCTGTCTTCTGCACAGCCCCTACCTGACACAGCTCCAGTAGCAGACAAAGGCCAGCCAAGGCTCAGACACCGCCACAGGGTCAACTGCCTAGGCCTGGGTCCGGAATGCTACTTTGAGCCTCACAACTGAGACTGAATAAATATTTTCAGTGTATGTGTCTATCTTTCCCAGGGGGCCACAGGTTGTTAGGACAGATGTACTTATTCAGCTCTGTGGCCCTAGTACTTCACACGTGATATTGTTGGGCTCAGCCTACAGAGCACTACAGGCAGGGGAAAGGGAGGGCTCATGGCTTCAGGTCTTGAAAGCAGGGCACATGTCTTGTTCAGACACCCGCTGAATAGTGAGTGTCCGGACATTTTGAGAACTGTGGTCAGGAAAGGCAGTAGGTGAGGTCTAGAGTGTTCTGGAAGAGAATGTGACTTTCTTTGTGACCCACAGCAAGTATCATCTACGGGGCCGGCTGCATTAGATGCTGGGACCTCTGCCAGCATTAAGCAGCAATTCCGCCCTTTGAGTGTGGCAGCCCACCTGGCAAGGCAGGTTTTGAACAAGTTATTAGAAACAGGTGGGCATGTGGGAAGGGGCCAGTGTCTGCCAGGGCTCCACGTGGGATCAGCCAGTGCTTCTGGGCTCGGGGGTTGCAGCAGCGATCCTACACAAGCTACCGGGGAGATTCAGTCTGCAGGGAAAACAGGACCCTACTCCAAGAGTCACCTGGAATGTAGCTCACTTTAGACCACACGGCACCACTCCAGGAGTGCGGGGTCACAGCCTTCCCAACTGGACACCACCCTCTGGGAAGGCCCCTGACTTACCTTGTCCAGCCTGGGCCCAATATCCTAGAGCCACATGCTTGGGGACCAAAGCTGGGTGATGCCATAGAAGCGCTGGTTACTTTGGCACCAGGTTGAGTTTCACACAGCCCCACGACATCTGCACAGCCTGCCATGTTACGGACAGATCCACTCAGGCTCACAGAGGCTACTGTCACCATCTGGCAGTTGGGCAGGTCTGAGTGGGCAGGGATTTGCTGAGGTGGTGACAGGAAAGTCCCTGGCACATCAGAGTCTCCACAAAAGATAAGTGAAGAGCTGTGGCAGACAAACGGAAGGTTAACCTGGGGACTGGAGGCTCCTCCTGACACGCAAGAGTGATCCATCCATGTGATCTCAACCAGAAGAGTGTCGGCTTCAATATCTATTAATCCATATTTTGGGGTACATGAAAAGAACAAATCCAGCCACAAGAATCCACTCCATGAGAAGCCCCAACAGGTCTTCCCAGGACCTCTGGTTCTCTGCTGGAAATTGTCAGTTGGGAGTGGCTTCCTAGCACTGCAGACAGCATGAGGAGTCGTGGACATGCTACCCCCACCCTGCTAGTTACAAAAGAAATATAGTAATACAATCCATTATTTCTTGAAGTCAGGGGAGAGATGCAGTTACAAGACAAACAGTGAAAAATTACTCTGAGACCCTCTCCAACATGGTCTTTTCTGCTCAATGGGGCGGGTCAAATGCCAGGACCCCTTTTCCGATAAGGTTCAAAGATAAACTGGGGAATTCTTTCCCTCACTTCCTGTTGGTTTACTTCCTGTTATACACTTACTTCTACCTGTATATCTTTAACCACTGGAGTCATAGATATGTTATATTTTGTAGATATGTTAACATCAGCATCGATGGATTCAGCTGATTCTTTTACATTCTAGGAGCCATGGCTTAGCTAGTTCCTTTGGATATCAACATTGCATCTGCTTCTGACTTTGTTGTTACAGTTTGTTCATCTTCTTTTTATGTCTTTTTGCCAATAGACTCCTAACAGTGAAATTGTGAAAAAAATTTTGCACACTTCAAGTTTTGGTTGCTATTGCCAGATTGCCTACTAAAAGATTGCACCACTCAGAGAACTGTGGTCAACATCGGGCAATAGGAAACCCTGGTTTCTGGGTGTCTTCCAGAGTGTTCAAACGTATGTTCAGACCGGGACCCAGGATGCGGCATTCACCAACTAGCGTCCCTCCATTCTGGGTAATTTCCAAGGTGGTTTCTCTCGAATGCTGCCTGTTCCAAGCCTCTCTACAATATTGCTTGAGCAGGCACTGTCCTCACCCCCTGTGTACAGGGCACAGACAAGGCCAAGTGACGCGCTTGAAACCAGGCAGCAGATCATGGAAAGAGCCAGGCTCTGGCTGACCTCTGCCCCATCACTTCCCCAGGCACCAAACTACAGGGCTATAAATACCTGAGATCCTCAGGTGTGGGGGCTGGGAGGGCTGCTACTGAAGTGGATCTGAGATGGCAGGGAGGTCAGGAAGGCAGCTGAAGGAGCTGCTGTCCTCAGGTAAGGAGAAACAAGCCAGGGAGGACAGAGGTTTCTGAGGTCTGCGTGTGGATGTGCTTAGGATTTTGGTCAG